CGTGGATCGGATCGGGACAAGCCTACTCTAGATAATAATATATTCTTAGTTTTTTTCATATAGTGGGGGAATAATAATTAATGCAGTCAGCTAAACACAAACCAAATCATCATTTTGCCAAATAAAACAAAAAAAAAATCGCCATCAGAGCCAGCGTTGCTTCACACACAGCTATGCTGCAGATAGGGTGCGGTTAGCCCTGGCTGCGGTTAACCTTGCAGATCCTTAATCAAAAAATGGGCCATATAGTGACACTTTAAAGTATAATGTTCTCATCTTAAATTACCTTAAAACATACTTTCATAGAACAATGGCAATAGGAAAGTGAGCTTTTAACTTAATACTCTGAGCTCTGTGAGCGCTCCACTGGAAGCTGCTGCTGCAGTGCATGCTGGGACAGCTGTCAGTCTCTAGAACAGACAAGTCTGCTCTGATGCATGCTGGGTAAAGAGGGAGGTGCGAGAACAACATCCGGTTGAAGTTGTCCGTTCTCTGTCTTGTGTTCTTGTGAATTGGAACACCAGAGCTGAGGCTGACGTTTTGCAAGCACGAGAGCGCACAAGTAGACATATTGAGAAATGTCCATTGTTTCATCTTCTCCGCTGCCATCGCACCCTTGCTGTCATTGCATAAAGCCCGCCCTCTGACTGTCCGCTTCACTGTTTGATTGGCCAGGCTGATCTTAGGTGAACCAGCCAAGCTTTGAGTGGACGGTAGCTAAGAGTGGGGGAAGCTACATTATTTTCCAAGTTGGAGGGAATCTTTAGTAGCCTTATTTTGGTTTTACGTGTTTTTAGATCTCCAGGTTATAATGCGTAATCTGGTTCCCTTCTGTCCCTAGTGTATAAAAAATAAAGATTTTTTTTTTGTTTTTATTAATGGAGTTAGAACCGTCCATGCCTGCTTTTCAAGGCTAAACAGATTCTCTCTAATAGAGACTGACAAACACAATTTTTTATTATTTTTTTAAAGGTTTATACCTTTTATTATTTTGACATGAGTCTCACTATCCTTGGAAAGTTTTGCTGTTTTTGTTCAGTTTTTTATTGGATCCGATTCTTTATGCCGAGATCGCTTTCTCTTCCCCCAGTAACACATTAAAAATCCCACAGTGAAAACAAATGTGACACGTCTCATTTTAAACAGAAAGAATGATATATCGATGCATTAATGTCCGCTACACATTTTCACCGACCATATTCCACCGCCAGTGTTTTCAAAGGCCTTTTAATACAACAATAAACCAGTTAGGTGTTTATTTGTCCAGCTGTACTCTTTTATCTAATCAACTTTGTATGTTACATCGTGGTTAAGTAAGTTCCCTTTTTTTTTTTTTTTTTTTTTTATTATTTCAGATTAAATGTCATATTTATCATTGCTGTCAATTAACTGGATGAACACATTGTTTTATTACATAAAAGTCCAAGAAATATAATCCAAAGTCTGCACATGTAGTCTTTTACTTATAAACTCCACTTGTTGACCGAGGGGTAAAAGGGAAGTAGGTCAGTGACCTAACAGACCAACACACTATCCAGGGTTTTAGAAACGCTCCATATGGAGCCCTATTAGTTCATCACAGCAGGGAAAGAACTATATTTGAAGGAGATGGGATTTCTGCTCCGGTTCATCTGACAGAACCAGAGGATGCATTCTTACTCTGATCTGCTCTGGTGTTCTCCAGCTCCTCCAGTTTAACTAAACTGTCACCAGTTATAGGTGTTTTTAATGATAACGGTTGGAAATCCCCACAAATACATGGTTAAAGTGGGGCGTGCTTCGGTGGAGCAGTGGTTGGTGAGCGTAACCCATGTGCAGACGCCTTGGTCCTCGACGATGTGGTCTTTTCTATCCCTCTCTCTTGTGCCTCCTTTCCTGTAAGACTACTGTACAATAACGAGCCACTAGTGCCGTACAACCTCAGAGAAAAAGAAAGAATAACAAGGTTAAGAGAAGTTATTGGAGATAACATCCATAGAACGTTGGTGCTCTGTTTCCTGACTCCACCAAAGCATTTCCCAGAATCCATCAAAAAGCTTGATGGCGGTTCTTGAACGCTACATCATCAGCCTGTCTTCTTTTCAGAGCTAAGTGGCTTCAAAAGCTTTCATCTGAAGAATAAGTGGATGGTTTTCTGCTTTATCTATGGATGCTGATCAGGCTCTGAAGGGCAGATTAGACTTCTGCAACCGAACACATCAAATGTTGCTTGCGTCTGGTCGCGAACCAGTTTTGCTGGTATGCTTCTGGAGTGTACGTCTGTAATTTCTAGGGACGCACAGCAGTTTCCCTCCAAAGCGCAAGGGGGAGCCTATTAGAGAACTTGCAAGAACTTTGACTGATTGTACTTCCGAACCTCCTCGATTAACCTTTCGTCGTAGTTGCCCAATGTAGTTGTTCCTCGGTTTTTAAAAATGGCACCGAATCGAGAAGGACGACCACACAGACAGCCGGAAAGGCATACCAAGGACCAATCACAGCTGCTTTTTGTCTGCGCACTTTGGCTTGAGGTCTACGCGGGTTTGTGACCGTCTGATGCGTAGTCAGGATTTTTTTTTAGGTGCGCGCTCAGAGACAGATTTGACGGTTGCAGAGGCTATGCTTCAGAAGCATAAATTGGCCTTTAGTTTCTGTGCACCTAGATCCTACTCACTTTAGAGAACTGAAGCCAGAACAAACTTTCAAGCTTTGAGCGAAGCCATCAGGGAGCTGCCAAACTCAATAGGAGCAGTAAGTGAGGATTTTTTTTAAAAAGAGGCTGATAAGTTAACTGGTTCTGCCTGTGTTCTGCAGTGGAGACGGGACCATGAGGAAAAACATCGACGTGTGGAAGAAATGGACTACCAGCAACAGCCTGCACCTCCATGGGTGAGTCAGAGGGAGACGCCGCGGGGATCAAGGAAGACGAGGAAAGGTCTGTTCATGCAGCTCTAATTAATTTGGCAGTAGTAATATATGTGTGTGTTTCTAGGCTGCAGCTGCGTATTGCAGTGCGTGGAGTTGAGCAGCTGGCTGTGGGGGGGAGGATGGTGTACTCCACCTGTTCACTCAACCCTATAGAGGACGAAGCCGTCATAGCGGCGCTGCTGGAGAAGAGCGAAGGTAAAGGACACTTTCACACAGAAACTCTGTTCTCATCCTCTGGATTTATAAGCAGAACAACCAACCAAATAAAGAGACAAGCTCTTATTTGATGACTTTAATTAAAATCCAGTCGGTACCTGAAAAAGGGGGGAATAAGAGGCTACAGTTTAATGAATAAAACTTGAAACATCTGGTCATGTTTCTCTAAAAAGATATTTAATCTCTAAATCTGTATCTAAAACCTAACTTTTGCAGGAGCACTGGAGCTGGTTGACGCGTCGGCTGACCTGCCAGGGTTGAAGTGGATGCCCGGGGTGACTTCCTGGAAGGTACTGAAGCTCAGGATTTTAACCAATGGTTTTTGAAGTTCATTGTCCAAAGGCTGAGCTGAAACTCTCTCCTGTTCTCTAGCTGATGACCAAAGAAGGCCAGTGGTTCTCTGATTGGGCCGATGTTCCCAGCAGCCGGCACACTCAGATCCGTCCCACCATGTTTCCACCTAAAGACCCAGAGAAGCTGGCCGCCATGCACCTGGAGAGATGGTACAGATCCATACATAGAAAAGCGCTTACTGGGGGGAGGATTTGGTCAAACAGCAGTGTGTTGCAGTGAGCTTGTCACAGATATTTTTGATTTATGCCCAATATTGAAGCGTGGTCTGCGCTATGTTATTCCACAACACAAGAGGGACAATCAGGAACTAGCTGTGGGTCTAGATGTGGCCGAGGCCGTTAGGAAGTGGGGTCAAGTTTGTGCAACAACGGAGGGACATGAGGGGGAAAAAGAGAGGAGATCCAGGTGGAAAAAGGGTCCCAGAGTTCGCACGCACCTTGCTCTTCTAGCTGGTCCATCTTCACAAGTCGTTTTCCACAATGGCGGTCATACAAATAAAACAAGACGCTAAGGTACCAAAAAGGAAATATGCATGGTGTAGAGCTGATGTAGATTTGACCAATCAGAGGCCTCCGGTCTGCGATCACCTACAATTATGAAGAGGTGCAGCAGAGTGTCTGCGGAAGGGGCGGGGGCACATTTGCATTCACTGCGACACACATGCAGACGACCTGGTTTATGAGTAAATCAGCCGTAAAGAAAGAAGAACTGGGGAGCGGCCATGTTTGTTTTTTAACTCTGTACTAAAACCCCCTCTACATTGGACTACAGAATGATTGAAAAAATTTGGACTAATGGTATCTAGACTGTAGGTCTTCAACAGGGGGTCCGTGACCCCTAGGGGGTCCACGGAGGTACTGCATGGGGGTCGCAAAAGTTTTTTTTTTATATATTCCCCCCTGCAATTTTTCCACTAATTGAAAAGTCTTTAAATACACATAAACATGAATTAAACACACTGTATTAAACAGATAAATGGAGGCAGAAGATGTCTTTCAGTCATCAATGCACACATTCAGTGACACACAGGAGCTTTTTTAAGCTGGGCACCGTTTCATTCACAACATCTGTCCCATCGACCAGGAATCAGAATCAGAAATACTTTCATAATCCCAGGGAGAAATTACTTCCGTTACATGAGTCCTTCTGTAATAGATGGACTATAGGACCAGTTTGATATAACACAATATATATAATTAGGGCGTCCCCGCTCTATCTCGCCATCAGTTTGGGGGTCCTTGGCCTGGAAAACGTTGAAGACCCATGATCTAGACAGTACAGTTTGGTATAAATTTGGGTTTTAAATCAAATTAGACCGATACATCGGGCAGATGACATGTTAGCTGCTTTCTGTTGTATCAAAGTAGGCTGATATAAAAATGCTTTCAGCCACCATGCCTTGAGATCATGTGTCTTTAGAGCATTTGCGCTTTCTTCCATTCTACAGCTATTATTGTGTTGTGGAATTTGCTAATAGAGTTTTTTTTTTTTTTTTTTTTTTTTTTTTTTTTAATAAAATGAGGAAACCGAGGCTGAAAACTAAGACGGCGAAAGAAATTATTATGTTAAATAGTAGAACTATAGAGCAGTTTTGGCTATGTTGTTTACTAACCTGGACTAAAATCAGAAACTTAAATGCATTACAGAAGTATCATATTTTTTTAGCATGGAAATTTTTTTGTTCTGCCCTTTGGTTTGGCAGAATCACAGGAAACTTTCATGCCTTTTCAAACAAGTTTGCCACAGACGGAGTGAGCCTGTTCGATGTCAGTTTCCTTTTCCGTGTCTCATTCTTTTCATATTCACAATGGTGATGAAGATGTTTGGATTTCTATGGTATCAGTTTCCTGCCTCTGACCTGAGCATGTAATGAGGCTGATGTTCAGCGTTTAAACCCGTCTGCCCCACGATCGACTCTGGCAAACTCCTCTCCTCCACTGATTCTCTCTTGCTTCAGTCCTTTTCTTTGACAGTCAACAGCGTTCTGCATGCTCCCTGTGCTGTTTGCTGCCATTCCTTTTCCTCCAATGCTGGATGTGCCGTTTGCCGCGTCATCGCAAGTTTCTTTTTCGGTCGTTTTCAGCCGTAAATGTTTGGTCAAATTTTCTGTGCATCCCTAACATTTTCCCACAATAGCGTCCTAGCTCTACCTGAATGCAGTGATTCACATTGTGCTTTATAGTCTATAGTCGGGGTAACCAGTCTTGGAGCTTAGATTTTAGAGTTTAAAGATTAGGAACTGGGGAAACTAGTTTTGAAAGTGCCTATAGAATAAGATGCAAGTTGTCATGAACCGTTACAACCTCTGATCCTTTTGTGAATTTGTTCTTTTGCTAGATTTGCTAAATCTACTGTATCTTTGAAGGAACCTGACTGCAGCATCATAGCTGGATTATGTTTATGTATTTAGCAGACTGGATTATCCATTCTGAGTTTTAGTTAGAGCTGAATTAACCTCAGATAGTAGACGTTAAAAAGCCTCCTCACTGCTTCCAAAATGAGAAATCAATAAGCAGTCTGAGATAGTCTGGGGGGAAAAAATATGCATAATGAAACCAAATGAGGAGGCATCTGGATAAATGTTGGTTTACATCACCTGTCGGTGGTTTTAATGCATGCATGGTGATGTCATTTCTACATCCTTCATGACCGCTCAGTGATTTTTATCTACCCATTTAGACCTTTAGAGGGAGCCGTTGGTCCTCTTTTGGAAGCACCTTTTGTGAGGTTTTAGAAACCCTGTCTTCCTGTCAGTAGGTGGAGCTCTAGCTGTCAGAGCTGAGATTGATGTTTCTGTTTTTTATTTTTCAGTATGAGGATTCTGCCTCATCACCAGAACACAGGAGGCTTCTTCGTGGCGGTGCTGGTGAAGAAAGCCCCCATGCCGTGGAACAAAAGACATCCCAAGGTGCTTTAGACAAACACCTTAACATGAAACAAATCCTACAGAGCCTCCAAATGCATCCCTAAATGACATAAAGTCTACTTTATTTGCTCCTGTAGCTGAGGAAGAGCGCCGCAGCCCAAACCGGAGGCTCCTCCCCAGCAGACGCCCCCTGTCCCCCCCCAGAGGGCTCACAGGAGGAGATGGAGGAAGGTGGTCCAGAAGCGAAAGTAGACGAGGAGGCAGAACCTGCAGGCGCTCCTTTGGCTCAGGAGGCTGCTGGTAAACAGGAGGCGGTGTGTGGGTGAGTTCTGTTCAGGCTGTAAATATGGCGGACGATGGCCTTTTCTCTATAAAAACTATTAGATTGTTCATCCATCTATTCATCTTAAGTTTTATAACAAAAAAAAATAAATAAATGATCCATACTTGGAAAAAATGTGTCCCTCAGACCTCCACCATCCAAAAAGCTGAGGCTGTTTGGCTATAAAGAAGACCCGTTTGTGTTCCTAACTGAAGCCGACCCCGTCTTCAACACCATACAGTGAGCTCCTCTGTCTCTATAAGTGGTTTCAGCACTTTAATCCTCTTCTATCTCTCTGTTTATTTCATTTTCCCCTTCTTATTCTCCCTCAGATCGTTCTACGATTTGTCTCCGGACTTCCCCAAGCTCAACGTCCTCACCAGGACGCACGAGGGCAAGAAGAGACACCTGTACATGGTGTCCAAGGAGCTGCGCAACGTGCTGCTCAATAACAGCGAGCGCATGAAGGTAAGGTTTGTCTCCTCAGGGGCTGCTGGGGGATTTCTTTTTGCTTAGTTCATGATGATGAGGAGGAGGGATTCCAATCTGATGCTTAGATCTTCACTAGAAGAGATCCCCTCATTAGCTACGTTTACATGCGCAAAATTTCCCCGATCGATCCAAACCTTGGTTGATCGGAAATTCAAAATCTCCGTTTACATGGACACTAAATGAAATGATCCGATCATGACGTGTGTATACATGTACCAAGCGTTGGATCAGATTAAATCTTTTAAGCATGCGCAGAACTTCCTGCCAAACTTGGCAGTTCTGTCTGCGTCTGGTTTTTGGGAGGCCTGACAAACGATGCGCTCGGAGCGAGCGGAAAGAAAAACGGAGAGAGGAGGAAAAAAGCGCTTGGCAGCGAAATGCCCGAGAGAAAATGTAGAGAATGAGCGATTGAACCGGCGTGGGAGAGCGAGTGGGCTGTGGAGAGAGAAAAGAGGAAGAGGAGGAGGATAAATTCCTGCTTCCTGCAGCTTTAAATGAACTTGAGTGTATAAGTCGGCGTTCCTAGACTCCTCCCGCCATGTTGTTCACAACAAGAGCGAGAGCGACCGGTGGTTTCCTGTTGTTGACAAGGCGGAAAAACGTCGCACACATGCGCAGTGAAGATTATTTTACTCTTAAGATCCGAATGGGTGTTTACATGGACGCCAATCAGAATGGCGATCGGCAAACACCACCTCTCTCTTTCAGAATTAAATTTATTTCCGATCGGACCGAATCGGATTAGAATCTTCAGTCTGACATGTTTACATGAAACATTTTTGATCTGATCAGGCCTTCAATCCGATTAGTTGTGTCCATGTAAACGTAGCTAATGTCAATGAAGCTTTGAATCCTGAGAAACATCTTTGTTTTTGGCCTTTTGTTCTGTGTGAAAACAGACGAGACCCTCTGCTTCCCTAAACTGTAACACCTGTTTAGGTGGGGGATGAAGACAGATTTAAGACGACTTTAGAAGGAAAATAATCACATGATGGCGTTCCTTTTCTCTCACTGTTTCTCCTCTGTCTCCGTTATTATAAGGATGGTTTATTTTACTTAAGTATTGACTAGAACTTTAAATAAGCTTTTCTTGGTAATCTACCTACATCACTGCATTTCATTAGGTCTGTGGTTAGCTGTTTTTTTGCATTATGTTAACCAGTAGCTGTTCCATTTACCATCAAATTTTGCAAATGTTAAGGTAAAAATTATTTAACAGCTTGTATTTAATTCAGGGGGGAAAAAAGTGATCCTGAAGTATTTTTGTGGCATGTCTACTGATTTAACATCGGTCTGATCTTTGCTTCCTCAGGTCATTAACACTGGGGTGAAGGTGTGGTCTCGTAACAGTGATGGAGAGGAGTTCGGCTGCGCTTTCAGACTGGCTCAGGAGGTAAACCGTTATTCCAGAGGGCTTGCCTCCAGAGCTGCCACTAAAGATTATTTTCTGAATCCATTCATTTGTGCGTCTTTTTCCCTCTAATCTATTAATAATGAGATAGCAACAGGTGCTTTAAAGATATAAAATAATCGCATTAAAGCTGGCATTATTTTTTTTTTAAATAATGCAATATATTTATACAATTTTCACCTAATTGCTACTCTAAATCGGTTTCGTTAACAGCTAATGACATGTTTCAGACTGAAAGCTCCAGTTAACAAATGAATCAGCGAATTTAGTTCAAGATTATTACAATAATTTATTAATCCAATTGTTTCAGCCCTACTTGTCACTAACTGACCAATCAGAAATCGCATTTGTCTGGAATTTAACCCCCCTTACCTGGATCAACTCCACCCTCTTTTTTTTCTTATATATATATCTTCTGATTGAAAAAGAAACAAAAAGAAACAGACTCATTAATGAGAAGCTCCTTCTGTGATTTTGGTCCTGGCCATAAATGGAGGAGTTTAACATATTGGAGGCGGTAATCTCATCCAATAATCCCAATACGTAATTTCTTGGTCTACATTCAAAAACATCTTGCATCATGCTGACTACTAGATCCCAGAGAAACTTGGCTGTGGCAGCATCATGCTCATACAGATGCCTCTCTTCTGTGGGAAGGTGAATGGAGCTAAATTGGGCAACTTTGTTAGAACCAAATACTTCAGCATTTTCTGGTTTTATTACTTTTGCAAAACTGTTTTAAAGCAGTAGAGATCGTCTGCCCTCCTTTTTTCCTCTTAGAGCTGTATGAATGTTTGTGCAATCATTTTCACAGCTGCATAATATTTGTCTAAAGTTCAAATAAGATGAAAACTGTCCCTCTGTCTACATCTTCCTGTCCTTCTCAGGGAATCTACACTCTTCAGCCGTATATT